GTGCTAAAAATTTTGGAAAAGGCGCGCATACGAAAGTTTCGCTGGCGAAGATTTATCGAGAAGCGGGGAGACTTTCATTAAGATCCTGTCCGAAGTTGTATAAAGTTCGGTGCGTGGGATGATGAGAGACTGGCGGAATAGAAACGGCTAATGTTAATTTCGCGCGTTACTATTGAATGCATAAAGATCTATTATACACCGGCGTCACCTTTCCAACGTAATTCACGTCCCCCGGAGTTCGCGAGCGAGCCGGGACACGTCGGCAGCTATGTATTCGCAGCTTCGTCGATAAGTCGACTTCTCGGCGGCGTTGAATATTGTGCATCGGAGAAATAAGATTCCCAGGGAGAATGACGGGACAGCGTGTACGTCGCGGGGCCATTATACGGTCGTGTCTCGATAACGCGAACCTCTTCAACTCGTAAATCTCGACGAGGCGAAAATGTTGTCCGTTCCATTCTCCGCCGCGTTGTAAAAACCTCTGTAAATCGAGGCGAGACTTTCTTCGACACAAATTATTTTCTACAAGTTTAAATGCATTATTTTGCCTCTGTCACGCGAACTTAGAACAGGATTTTTCTATTCGTATACACGAATAAATTATTATTATTATTATCGTTATTTTTGTTATTTTTGTTATTATTATTACTGTTATTTTTTTTATGGAGGAGGGGACATGCTTTTACGCACGGGGTGATGAACACCCCGAGCCCAAGGTTATTTATTATTGTAATTTATTCGAATAAAGAATTATGCGAATAATTTATTCGAATAAAGAATCATGCGAATAATTTATTCGAATAAAGAATCACGCGAATAATTTATTCGAATAAAGAATCACGTGAATAATTCATTCGAATAACGAATCATGCGAATAATTCATTCGAATAAAGAGTTATACGAATAATTTGCGACGAATTATGAATAATTGTTATCGAAATAATATGCTGCCTTCGTTATTTCATCTGACAACGCCAGCCACGTCCCTTTTAGCCGCGTGCCGCGTTTTTTATCAGTCGAACGCATAATTCGCACCATTGAAGCCGCGCGCTCGCAAAAAATTTGCGCTTCGGCAAATTATTAATTCTTGTACACATTCTTGTCTTTGCAAGAAGGCTTCGCTAATAGAGAATTCTTCGAAATCTCTAGAAATTTCGAAGATTCGATTCCTTCCCCTCGAGATTCGATACATCGATGTTGTATTTCCCGGCGGAGCGTTCGGTCGCGGTTCCCGCGTCGGATTCGCCGCTCTTCCGCGGCCGTTCCCGCGGTTTCTCCCCTGTCGGCGAGATTATGCTCGAAAGTTAAATCCGGGGGCCGCGCGACGCCGATGCGGCTGTTATCCGGCGCGGGATTTGATGGATTACAGCCGCAGGACCTCGACTGTCGTCTGGCTAGATGGATGAAAGAGTGCGGTACGAAGTAAAGTGGAATAAAAAGGAAACGTGACAGAGGGAACGCGTGAAAGATAGAGATAGAAATAGATAGATAGAGAGATAGAGTGAGAGGGGGTGAGAAGAAAAAAATGGAAAATACGACACAGAGGTAACAGAAAGAAGGTAAAGAAGCAAACGGTTGATGGTATCCAATTTGTCCCGTGCCGCCGCGCCGCCGAGGGTTCTTTGTGGAGCACCGTTAGCTATCGCTGGCGGAAATTCGTGCCAGTTCGTTGACTTTATCTGAAATCGATGCTCGAAACGCCGGACAGAAAAAGAAGCTGCTGCTGCTGCTTCTTCGAGGCTCGTGCAAGGTTAACGAGCTGAGCCGTCGGGGCTGTTACGCGCGAACGAACCGGTCGTCTAGCCGTCGGAATTGGGTGAAAATGTCAGCTCGACCCCGTCGATCCTCTCGGGACAGCTCCTCCGCCTCTAGCCAGACGTCCTGCGGCCTCGCCGACTATTCGAATCTTATAGAAATGCTTCGCGAACCGACCGAAACCGCCTTGCCGCCCCTCCCCCGCCCCCGCCAGCCACCGATGGAACGATTCATCGGGGGGTGTTGCGATCGTAACTGCTTACAAAACTGACAGCGCCAGGAATAAACGGGAAAACCGAGCCATCTGCCAGCCGGGAGCTGGACGACCCTTGCTACAGCCATCGCGAAAAGGATGTGCGAGGTTTGCGAGGGAAAATTCCGGGAAAGTTTCGCGAAATTTAGGAAAAATTCGGATGCGAATTTTCGTTCGTCGATTTATGATTTTGCGACAGAAATAGATGGATCGTATTCAAAACGGTGGAGATGTTTTTATAGAGGTCCAGCGGCCCTTTGGGGCAAATAAAGTGAAACGGGGAGGGGTGGTTTTATCTGTCGGAGCTGTAAATGTGCGTAGCTTCGGTAACCACCGTAATACTGAATTTTTATGGTTGCAGAGGCCGAAGACTGTCTAGCTGTCGACGAAGTGGGCGCGGCTTGGTCTAAGGAGGCGTGTCTTAGATTTTAAGGGTAACATATCTTCGTTCTTAGTCTAGACACGACAATCTCGGGAAATCTTGTTTCGAGAATCACTGTACCACTGATTTACTTTCTTTTCAGATGTAGAGAGCTGTGGAGTGGACGTGGCTTGATCAAAGGAGGCGTGGTTTATATTTCAGTCAAAAAGAATCAATGGCTTTTCGAGACAACTGACTTTCATTAAAGGTAAAGACTCGACGCCTCTACACATAAAACTCTATAAATTATTACAATATTGCTGTTTTATTTATCAGAGATAAATGATGCTCTAGTTGTCCGTAAATTAGGCGTGGCCTGATCAAAGGGGGAGCGGTTTACTTTTCAATAAAGGCGAATCAGTGCTCTCCGAGACAACCGACTTTTATAAAAGATGGAAGACTCGACATCTCTAAACAAAAAAACTCTATAAACTATTGCAACATTGCTATTTTATTTATCAGAGACAAATGATGCTCTAGTTGCCAGTAAATTAGTCGTGGCCTCTTTCCCCTCGCTCCGAATTTCCCCCAAAATTGCTGCTTTAATAAACGACGCCCGCGAGAACGAACTTCATTAAAATTTCCCAAGCTCCCAGTAATTTCTCTGGAGGAAATGGTCCCCGACGATTTTTCCAAGTGATCCATCGATTACGGGATCCGGGGGCCGTTCTTAACGACCGACGACGGGACACGGAGCGTTTTCTTTTCGGCGTCGAAATGTAATTGTTGGCCGAACGGCGGGTGGGTCGCGGCCGAATTTCCTCGTCATAACTCTGTTTGGCTGGTCGACGTTCTGTTTCTTGTTGCAGCGTTAATTACGCTCTCTCACTCTACCGTAAACACAGGCCGAATTCATGGCAGGCTAAGTGCAGCGCTGGTTTAATTGTCTCGTGTTTGAACAATCCGGGGACAGAGCCGTCGCGCATGGTCGATTCGATCGGACCCGCGAATGACCGAAACCCTTGCACCCGCCATTTTAACGCCGGATATCCCAGAGCTTCGATCCTTTCCGCCTCGCTCTTCCATTGTTCTCGCGATCTTTCGCCGTTTTCCGACCGAAGCCCCAAACGATCCATTAATTCCTGCCGATCGACGCGGTAAATATTTCTCGCAATGCAATTATCAGTCCGCGGATATTCCAACCAGTTTGTCCGCAGCGATTGCAGGCTGCAGGGTGCAAATTGCTGTCGATTTTCACCCTTGACCCTCACGGTGCCGAACAACGACGCATCGTTGCCGGCCACGCGCGCGAGAAAAGTTTATTTGCTGAATCATTTTTATTAAATCAAATGTTTCTTTCTTCGCGTGCTCCTTTGTGAATTTGGTAATTATTATTGCATTTTACTTAATAGTATTTATAACCTTCTCCTGGAATCTCAGCAAATTATATTAATTTGGCTCGGTGTCAGTGTTTTTCGTTTAGGTACAACGTTTTAAACGGGTGAAAATCATTTTCTTCAGAATTACAGTGATTAGAACCTTTTCGATTGTAATAATTTTTTCGGCGGAGCAAGAAAGTGTACACTTATTGTGCGTTAATGTTAACTTCATTAATTAAATATCGACGATAGCAGAATAGAATTCGATTTCGACTCGTGAGAACGGAATAACGTGCACGCTGAACGGATCGTTATTAAGAAATCTGCATACGAGCGATTAACAGACCGCGGATATTTATGCAAATTGTAACTAGTCCGAGTTCATTCCAAGAGATACAGCTCACATAAAAATGTCTTTCTTCCTCGAACAATCGCGATATGTCGCGAATAACGCGACAATATCTTCGAGTTCTTCGAACGTTATCTCCGCTTTGTACTGTCGACGCATTCTTTCATAAATGCGTAAAATCCGCGGTCCAGCGATTAATAACACTTTCGGATAACGGTTGAATAATATCCAAAGTTCGCCCATTTTCTGAAAACGTTGTTTTCTCGGTCGCGAACCGGCGTTGTAGAGAACTCGCCTCGCGGCAAACGCGGCCGGCACCAATTCAGGTTTATCCGAACGAATAATACGGCTCCGGATAAACGGTTCCGAAACAAAAATCGCGGTAAAGAAATCGTTCGAATCTCGTTCGTCCATTATCCCTCCCGGGGAATTAAACGGACTGCGAATTGCCCCGGAATATCCGGATCTCGTTTCGCAAATCGCGCGGCAACCGATCGACGCCGACATATATAATTCGAGCGATCTCGCGTGCAACGCACTTACCGGCGCAATTGATTAGGAGAAACGTTGGCGAGAGCAGGCTGTATAACGCGCGCGGCCCGAAATCATATCGTCGACCGGCCGGCCGACAATGGGAATCCCGTAAATGGGCTCGTCTCACCGTTAAAACGTGTCAGTCGGCTGCGATGCGAGGTGTTCGCGATGCGAGCGCGTCTCGTCGCGGCCGCTCGATTGTCAGAGCCGGCTCTCTCACTCCCTCGCCCTCTCTTTGTCTCTGTCTCTCTTTCCGGCTCCCGTGGCTCAGTGTTTGCCACTTTCATGCATCGGTTCTTACCGTGCTCTGCCCCATTGTCGGAGCCGCCCCCGCATTTCCCGGGACCCCGCAGTGTAAACTTTACTCACCGTACATCTGATAGAACGCCGTGATACCGACTCGGTCCGCTCCGTCGAACGACACTGGCCCCTGGAACCAGTTATTCGATTACATAGATCACATCGCTGCTTTCGTCCAGTTATACAGGGTGTTCTGTAACTATGGTACTACCGGGAAGTGAAGGATTCCTGAAGTTATTTGAAACAACATTTTCCTTTGCGAAAATGCGATCCGCGGCTTCGTTTACGAGTTATCAACGAAAAACACTGGCCAATGAGAGATCGCGTGCGGCTGACGCCCCGCCCTCGCGACTACTGCTGCTGCGTCAGATGGTCGCGCGACGCGGCATTGGCTGGAGGGGCCAGCCGCGCTCGCTTTGCGATTATTTAGGGTTTTTCGTTGATAATACAATGTTGTATTATTGCTTTCAGATAATCATTAATTAGAAGCAATTAAATTTGCAACAGCGGGAGGCGGACTTCCAAATTTAACTTTTCTGGAACTTTTCTGGAACTTTTCTGGAACCTTTCTGGAACTTTTCTGGAACCTTTTTGGAACTTTTCTGGAACCTTCCTGGAACTTTTCTGGAACTTTTCTGGAACTTTCCTGGAACCTTTCTGGAACTTTTCTGGAACCTTTCTGGAACTTTTCTGGAACTTTCCTGGAACCTTTCTGGAACTTTTCTGGAACCTTTCTGGAACTTTTCTGGAACCTTTTTGGAACTTTCCTGGAACCTTTCTGGAACTTTTCTGGAACCTTTCTGGAACTTTTCTGGAACTTTCCTGGAACCTTTCTGGAACTTTTCTGGAACCTTTCTGGAACTTTTCTGGAACCTTTCTGGAATCTTCCTGGAACTTTTGTTCGAACTAACTGTTTGATTAGTTAGTGGCTTCGAGAGAATTTACCACAATCCATAAACGTTAAATACTGTTCTCAGTTAGGCGTAACACCCTGTATATATAATATATTATTATGAATATTATTGCACATAAATATAATAAATAAAGCAACGAAGCTGAACAACGGAAGAAATTCTAACAGAGAACGTATTGATACACCTGTCTGGACACAATTAAATCGAGAAAAGACGTTTCACGGTGTTCGAAACCATAGCGTCGTCTCCAGAGATTTCTCTAGTAAAGAGTACAACAGTGGAACGCGATAAGATCGTGATAAGAAATGGTATCGTAAAGTGAAAAAAAGTTCGAAGGAGACAATTTGAAACGTTTCGAGGAGCGTTATCGCGGTGAAAGAAGCGTGCCAGGGAGAAGCTACAGACAGCGAATAGATCTCTGGCACCGTGTTTCCTGCCGTTCCGCTCCCATTCCCGACGGTGCGCCCCAATCGGCCATTGTCTGGCCTACTCACCGACACTCCGATAAAGCGAAGAAGCTTCAGCTGGTCCAGAAGTCTCGTTGCGATGTCCTTCCTCGTGTGGCTGTACTGCGCCACGGACGCGTTCTCTTTGTTCAAAAGGGCCTCGGTCTTCTCGAGGCCGAGGGCCATCGCCCAGACAGCGTCGTAGGTCTGCGCGGCGAATTTCGAATGCGCCACGCCTCGCCTGGCTAATTCCGCGACGAATTTGCTGCTTGTCTGCGGGGAAATGCGTTTATCAAAGCGCGGACCGGACACGGTGTTCCCTGCAAGCTGTTTCGAAACGCGCCGGACGCGGCCACGCGACCGGTTTCTCGTTGCACACCGAAATGGAACACGCTTCGGTAAAATTGCATCGAACGGGCAGAAGTTCTTTTTAGACGATAGATCTAGGTTGCTGGAGAATCTGCGAGAAAGTGAAATTTTCGATATGCATTTAAGGTATGGAAACGTTGAAGAATGCAGCGTTTGGACTTTCGTTGCGCTCTCGGATAAAAACGTTGAAACGCGTGACTTCGAACATCTTTTTCTTTCATTTTTCTTTCATTCAGTCGATTGATTTTTTTTAAACGATTCTTCTTAGGCATTGTCTGTTAAACTAGTTCATTTAGTACGTTAAAAACAATTCGACCAGTTTAGTTTAATTTCGAACAAGTTATTATCTTTTAAAACGAGGTCGCATGTATTTGTTCGCATCTCTGATTTCCATCCATAATTGGCTGCATTTACCGATCGACGATTCTTCCAACAAACAATTTTGTATTCCGTGTATTTTGAAGTGTACAGCAGAGTTAAATAGTTTCGCAAACGCTGGGAATCGTTTGCCGATCGATGTTTCTGTTAATAGACAATTTTGTCGAGCGTGTAGTTTCGTGTCGGTAGTAAAATTAAATGGTTTTGTAAATGGTTGGTAGTATTCGGTGATCGATGTTTCTTCTGATAGACAGTTTTATAGGGTACGTATTTCGGTGTTCATAGTAAAATTGAATGGCCTGGTAACATATTACAGCGATCGATGTCTCTAATATCTTATTGATCTGATAATTCTTTTGCTACTCGAAAAGTGTGAAAGAACGCTGAATATTTTCATTGAAATCGAACTGTTCGGCATTGTTCGCCTTCCCTACTTTGTGTAGCACGTATTTTGGTGTTCATGCTTGAATTAAATGGTCCGGCAGCAATTAGTAATCGATGTCTCTTCGAATATTTTATTAGTTTGATCATTCTTGTGCTATTCATAAAATGTGAAAGAATTCTTAATATTTTAAATGAAACCGAATTGTTTGGCATTGTTTGCTATCTTTATTTTGCGGAGCGTGTATTTTCGAAGTTCATAGTAAAATTGAATGGTTTGATAACACATTTAGTAACCAATGTCTCTTCAAATATTTTATTAGTTCGATCATTCTTGTGCTACTCATAAAATGTGAAAGAATTCTTAATATTTTAAATGAAACCGAATTGTTTGGCATTGTTTGCTATCTTTATTTTGCGGAGCGTGTATTTTCGAAGTTCATAGTAAAATTGAATGGTTTGATAACACATTTAGTAACCAATGTCTCTTCAAATATTTTATTAGTTCGATCATTCTTGTGCTACTCATAAAATGTGAAAGAATTCTTAATATTTTAAATGAAACCGAATTGTTTGGCATTGTTTGCCTCCTCTACTTTTTGAAGCATGTATTTTAGCGTCCATGATAAAATTAAATGGTCTAATAACATTTAGTAACCGATTTCTCTTCTAATATTTTATTAATTTAATCATTCTTGTGCTACTCGAAAAGTATAAAAGAATTCGCAATATTTTTAATGAAACCGAACTATACTGTACTGTTTGCTATCTCTACATTGTAGATCACGTATTTTCGAGTGCATAATAAAATCAAACGGTCTGATAGTATTAAATAATCGATGTCTCCTCGAATATTTTCATAATCCAATAATTCTTGTGCAACTCGTAAAGCGCGTAGAATGCTTAGCATTTGATCTGAAACAGAACACTTTGATACTGTTTGCAATCTCTGTAGCAATCGTACGACACACACACACACACACACACACACACACAGAGAGAGAGAGAGAGAGAGAACATTCACGAACCGATCAGCCACGGAACCGCCGACCCAGTTCATGGACGGGATAAAAAATCGAAATGGTGGAAGATGGGAAATTAAGATGGCGAATTCTACGTTGCACAGAGCCGCGTGCAGGAAATCCCGTCTTTAAGCCGAGGCGATACCCGTTTCTTTCCGGCGTTAGACGGTCGTAATCCTTTGAGAATGCGCGCGAATCTTGCTCGGCCGTGGCTTGATAAAGGCTTCGGTGAAGATTAAATAAAAAAAAAGAACGCCGGGAATCTCGGTGCATCTCGGTCGCAACCAACCCTTTCTTCGTCAAGATAAATCCGTTTCCGTGGAGGCAAACGACGTCGCTGCGCAGACACGCAGAATCGCCTCGGGGATGAAAAAAAAGAAGCGATCGTCGGGGTTGCGTGCGCGTGTGCGCGAGAGAATAGGGTATTTTTTTTTGTCGTCGACGCCTCGGGCGAGCGATTGTTGCGAGGGGAAAAAAATAAATTCCGTTTTTATCGGACGTCACCGCCGCCGCGTATCTTCGATCTGGCCGGCCGGTTATTAACAAATTAAACGGTTTGCGGCCGGCTGATTGGAAACTGTTTTCGCGAGTTTGAGCGCGTCGGAATATCGACGCGCTCTCGACCGTTACGGTCTCGATCGATGACTTCGACGGGTATCGCAATTTCGAGCGGATACGCGCGGAAACGCGCTTAGAAAGCCGCGACCGTCAGCCCGGAACGACGCGCCATCGAAACGCGCCGGCCTTGCAATATATGATTGTCCATTAAATGACTGATTCACCGGAGAGCGGTCCAAAATTCTGCAATATTTCGTATAATTTATGGCAGCCTAGTAATCGGCAACCATGATGACCTCCGATCATTTTTCAATTAAAACTGGCTTGACTTTATACACTGCTGAAACAAATAAATCTTGCGTAAAAATTGACCAACTTCGATGGACGATAACTCTGCGAAACATCATCGCAGGATGATGACTTTTCCCTCAAATTAAAGCTTGAAACATCTACTTTAAGACAGTATTTTTTGATTTTAAGTTTGACGCAACTTCCTTCCTTCCTTGCACATCGGGTAACGCCAATACCTGCGGCGCATGACGAAGATGCAGGGGCTACTTTGAAGTGCTATAACTTCGCGGGAAAAAATCGCAGCCGCGTTTCTTTTCTCGCAAATTAAAGAGGGAGGATCGAGCTATATTGCACTGCAAGCGGTGTCCACGAACAAAATTTTGTGAAGACCGTGCATCTCGTCGAACTTGGCAATCTTTAATATGACATTCTATCGCGAACATGGCCTCGCATTCATGGGGTTACAGCGGTGAGAGTGCATCAAACTTATAATCCAGAAAGACTGCGTAAAAGCAGAAGTTTCAAGCTTTAATTTAAAAAAGGAGTCATCGTCCTGCGATGATTACTCGCGAAGTTATCGTCCGATAAATTTGGCCAATCTTTCACCGGAATTTTTCTACGCTATAATTTTGTCGAACGGCGTGTCTTGGCTACGTTTTTGGAATTCGCGATTTTTCCGTTCTGCTTGGCCTGGCTCGTTCCCCGAAACCCGAAGGATTAATCCGCGCCGCGGATGCGAGCGTAACCGGCGCGATTTCCGCCGTTTATGCGCTCGACTAATCCGGACGACGACGGAATCACGTGTCGCTAATTGTTAGCCGCTTCGCGGCCCGCTTTGCAATCCTCCTCGGAGCCGGCCATGCTTATCCACCAAGTTTTCAAGCCCAGCTCTGATCCTGGTTTACCCTCTCGCATTTTCGAACATCGCGGCTATGAATAATTCCACGCGTGGCCGGGAATATGCTGCATATTTACACGTGCATGCAATTTCGTTTTCTCTCGCCTCGCGCGCGCGCGCATTCTTTCGCCGGCAATCTCTGTGCGGTGGGTGCGGGGGGACCGTAATCGATCCTGGACAACAGATCTTTTCTTCGTTATACGCGTTCACGTTCTATGGCAATCGCGATTCTACGAGGTTACAGAATTTTACGCGAGATTAAAATTGCCCGCCGTTACTGCGAGACGCGAGGAGACTGTACAGACATTTACTGCGCTTTTTATCGATCATGACGCAATGTGAAAATTGTGTGCTGTCGTTGCGGGAGATACACGGACATTTTGCTTATTTTATTAATGATTTTAATTAGTCGAAAACGAGGCGACAGTGTTTTATATTTTGCTTCTTTTATTAGTGGTTTTAATGAGTTGAAGAGGATTTAAGAATAGTATTTTATATATTTATTTATTTATATGTTTATATTTATATATTTGTATATATTATTTATTTATATAGTTATATATTTATATATTTATATAATAATACGCTGCTGCATATTGTTGTATTATTACGATACAGGGACTTTCTCTCGTTGATCAAATAAATATTATTATTATTATTAATATTATTATTATTAATCTCAACCGAGAACGTATTACTCTGTTATCAAAAAGTATCTCATGTTATTAGAAAAAATGATTAAGAACGAACAAGTGCCAATCAACGCAGCACAGTAAATTCTCTCCAATTGTCCCTCAGCTTGTGATCAAAAATGGTCAATTTGGGAAGGCAATTTGTCGGCAATTGGTAACTATAAAAACGAGCCCCGCTCGGACAATCGTGTCTCCGCTTCCCGAATTGTCCATTTTCGTTTACAATCTCAGAAGCAATTTCGCAGGATTCACTGTACACTTCGGGTAATATATTCTAACGCGATCTCGATCGATCAACCTGCATTTCACGCGACGAAGGAAATCACAGTGCAACGGGCGTATTATGCACGCTGCTAAATCTTGCGAGCATAATAGTCCATCGAATGGATCGTTTTAGGACTCGACGCGCGTTCCTCGAGCTGCGCGGATAATTCATAGCGCGGCGTTTTCAAGAATAAAGGCGCCGCGTCCAATTTCCGCGTCGGCCGTGTCTATGATCGGTAGACGCTGTTCCAGCGGGCGGCGACGGTTAATTACTCGAGATAAGAGGGCATCGAGACGCTTTGTCTTCGTTCGGGGGCTTTGACTGGCGTCAGACGCTACATTAATCAAACGTCGTTCAGGAGATCGCTGTACCGTGGAGAGTCCCCGTGGACGGAAGGCGCACGAAATTCCTTTGCGAGGCGAAATTACTTGGACGAAACCGCGCGCGAATTACAGTAATTTCTCCCGGAAATGTTCGGAGAGTTGGAATTGAAACCGGCAGATCCGAGAATATTAAGTCGCGATTTTTCGAGCTTCGCGGCTCGTTTTTGTAGGAACTCGGGGCAGCCGGCGAATAAAGGCAGCGGACAGCGTGCCAGTGTACATTGACATGAGTGTTATACATGGTAGTGCTGGAATAGAAATGATGGCTTAACTTTTTTATTTATAATTGTTTTCCACGATTCGGAGGAAATTCGGAGGCCATGTGACGCGATTCGAAAGCAATTCGGGAGCCACGTGAAGCGATTCCAAGGCAATTCGGAGATAATTCGGAGGCAATTCGGAGGTAATTCAGGAGCAATTCGGAGGCAATTCGAAGGTCACATGACATGATTCGAAGGCAATTTGGAGGCAATTCGAATGCCACATGACATGATTCGAAGGCAATTCGGAGGAAATTCGGATGCAATTCGGAGGAAATTCGAAAGAAATTCGGAAGCAATTCAGAGACAATTCGGAGAAAATTCGGAGGCAATGGAGGCCACATGGCATGATTCGAAGGCAATTCGGTGGCAATTCGGAGGAAATTCAGAGGGAAATCAGAGGCAATTTGGAGGCAATTCGGAGGAAATTCGAAGACCACATAACACGATTCGAAAGCAATTCGAAGGCCAAAGTTTAACCCTTTGTAGTTTGATTTATTTCTCGTTAATTTGCGTTATACTTAGGCGAGACACATATGTCTCGATAGACTCCAAAGGGTCAACACGACGCGCGAAAACGAGCGTCGCGAGCACGGATTGCCGCCGATTGCACACGCTTGACTATCGACGAGAAACAGGGCTCGTCCCGCGATGATTTAATCGCGAAACGGCGGGCGGACGGACGGACGGACGGACGGATTCGAGAGCCACTTACCAGGCCCGATGAGCTAATCTCGTCCCCCATGGCAGAGCCGAAGCTCTTCACGATGATCAACCCGTTCAGAGCTTGCGACAGCTGCGAGGCCGTGCACTCCTCTGGTCCGGAGTGCCACCAATCCCCGGCGATTATTGACAAGTCGATCGTATCACCCGGCAGGATCCACGCGTAGTCGCCGCCGTGCATCCCCAGCTTCCACGCCTGATTAAGGACAGAAGGCAGAAGACAACTCTTTTAGGTGATTAGTGGAGATTGCGCGGTGTTCGAGCAGATTGCAATACGATTTTATGGCAGGCTTAAGTCGTTCGAATCTGCGTCGATTTTGTCTGAATCGAATTTTTGTTTTAGAAAGAAAATTAACCCTTTGCACTCCGAAGCTGTTTTTGATATACATTATATTTTGACGCACCGAAAGTTAAATTGGAATCAAAATTATTACGCCGTTGCGAAATTTAAGAAGAATTAGTAAATAAAAGATTTTGTGTTTTTTTTTATTTATGTACTAACACTGAATTTACCAAGCAGTAATTTATTTAATTAATTTACTCTGATTTTGTAAAGTTTTTATCAGAAAACCTGCTCCAATGATGTAATTTATTCAAGTATTTTTCACGAAAGAGTCTCTGAAGTTTGCAGAATTGTAGAATTATAAAACAGTCATTTCGACCGCGGTAGATTCTGTGTTAAAAAATTGAATTCCTTTCAATTTTGTCTTATATTTGAAAAAATCCCTCTGCGAAATCCTAAAAATCCTCGTTATATACTTACATCAAAATCTTATTGTCAAGGTTATCTGCAAATACGAAGTGTTTTTTCAATTGCAACAAATTAAATGTATTAAACTGAAAATTTGCATTCCTAAATTACAACAACCAGTTGCCACGTAGAAAGTTCTTTTCTTCTTCAACAAATTTAGCAACATGAAAATAATACAATGACAATGAGATACAACAATTAATTCTCTTAGTCTGTCTACTGTCTTCAAATTGACCCACTCATTTTACTCATAAATGCATAAAATCCGCGCGTCGTCAATTACAGCACAAAAACGATATTTAAAGATCTAGCGATCTAGATCACTGGCGATTGCAACGATGAATTACACATTTATCGCGCATGCACGCGTATAAGCCAACTATTTGTGAAACATCGAACCGTCGCGCTGTTTGAAGTGGCTCGAGAATAAAAGCGCGAGAAATTTCGGGTGTTCGCTGCGTCGACCGGGGCGAATGTTTCTATTTCTTCTCGGTTAGCGTACATTGTTGGCGGAATTTGCTCGCAGCTCGGGTAATTTTCGAGGTATCCGGAAAATTCTTGCGCACACGTTCCCCAGAGAACGGCGGAAGATTAGCCGGGGCAAAAGGAAATCGAATTTTGGATCCGGAAAATGCTGGTTCCCGTTTCGAATGGTCGATTAAGTTCGGCCCGGATATTTACTCGTTTGTTTTCCTCTCTCTCTCTCTCTCTCTCTCTCTCTCTTTCTCTTTCTTTCTTTCTTTCTTTCTTTTTCTTTATCTACCTGCCTCCCTTGTTCACTCTCTCCGGCGAAGCTCGACAAAATAGATAAGACGAGCTTTAGAATTGGCTCTCGCTGCAAGCTTCGCGCTTTATGTTTCCTCGAATATATGCGACTCCCTTGGATAAGTCTTTTATCTCGCCGGGAAAACAGGTGAGTTCATTACGGGCCCGAGTTTCATATATTACTGTAAAAATTCTGCCCCTCTCTCTCTCTCTCTCTCTCACTCTCTCATTCTCCCTCTCTTTTCTTTCTTTCTTTCCTTTCCTCTCTTTCTTTTTCTCTCTCTCCGCCTTCTCTCTCTTTCTCACTCTTTTCACTCTGTCTCAGTCTCCCTCTCTCCCTCTCTCTCTCTCTCCCTTTTTGTCTCTCTCTCGCCCTTTTTTCTCTCTCTTTCTCCCTTTTCTCTCTCTATTTCCCTTTTCTCTCCTTTTCTCCCGCTTTTCTTTCTCTCTCCCTTTTTTCTCTCTCTCTTTCTCCCTTTTCTCTCTCTCTCTCTCTCTCTCCCTTTTCTCTTTCCCCGCGCCGCTCGCCCCGTTCACCCATGTTCTGTATCGCGTGCACCGCGAAATTAACGCCACGTTGGCCACATTCTCGACGTGCCGCCGCGATAGGTCCGTCTGCAAGGATCGATCGTCGAGTGCACTTGCCAACGAAGAAAGTTAATGGGGTCGCACTCGTCGCGCCGAGGCTACTGTAGAAAAAAATCGCCAGGAATGCAATGCGCATCTGGGAGCCCAGAGGAAACCCATCGGCATGCCGGAGAAATATTTACGTCGATCCGGTTCGAAACGGCGGCCACCGTCCGCCGACCGATAATGAAAAACGTCCCCGCGAAACGTCCTACGCGATTAATAAAATCCTACGATCGTACGCTGCCTCGAAGAGTATCGAGCTCTCGAAACTATTCTTTTATTTACTCAACGGTAAAAGGCGTAAGCTATTCTTATAATAAATAGCTCGGTCTGAACAATGCGATTCGCGTCGCGGCATTGTCTCGGTGAAAATATTGTATTAAATACAGGTATAAATATAATAATAATAATATGATAAATGGTATAAATGCAGTAAGCTCTCCGAGCTTGGGAATGAAAGCGGACAATTTGGGAAGAGGAGATAAAATTATTCGAGCTTCTTTCAATCCTTCGGTGGATTTCCATTAATACTTCGTCGATAATACTTCTTCGTTCGAGGCAGAATTTTCGTTCGAACTTGAACGTCAATTTTCACTGCAATTTGATATTCTTTACTAAATTATATATTTTATGAAAGCTTTGTAATTATAACGCTAGAACAATTTAATAACTATATAGCAATGCCAAGACTGGATTTATTTCAACTTCGTATAATGTATATTACAATAAGAGAGTAAATTATTGTAGTTCCGGGAAATAAAAGGTTCCTGAGCTCATTTCGAGTAACTTTTTCCTTTGCGAAAATGCAATCCGCGGCTTCGTTTACGAGTTATTCGCGAAAAACGCTGACCAATCGCAGAGCGAACGCGGCAGGCGCTCCGCCCTCGCGGCCAATGCAGCGTCGCGCCGGCCGTCTAGCGCAGCGGGAGTGGTCGCGAGGGCGGGGCGTGAGCCGCACTCGATCTCTCATTGGTCACTGTTTTCTCTTAATAACTCGTAAACGAAGACGCGGATTGAATTTTCGCTGAGGAAAAAGTTGCTCCGAATGACCTCAGGAATCCCATTGACATAATTTTGAGACATTCTGTATACTTCGATAAAAATCAGTTGCCGATAACTATAAAAGAGAGGCGCAAGGCTCGAATAATTCGCCTCTTTCCCGAATTGTCCATTTTTGTTTACAAGTTGAAGAACAATCGGAGAGAATTAACTGTAATTCGCGGGTCGAGGAACGCGCGCGGATCAGAAGACGCGCGCGGTATGCCGCGAGGCGGAAACGATGCGCGCGATACGGTTTCCGGCGGTGTAGCACGCGCGGAAAGCGGAGGGGCAAAGTGGCCGGCAGTTTCGCAGCGTCGAACAGCCGCGATCCCATAAATCATGGTCCCTTTGCTCTAGCCGGGACAGCGGCCGCAGTAAAAGTGGTAATAAAGAGATATAGAGCGACGCGCGTGCCGCTACACCGTAAGTAATGGCATGTATTATTTACGGTTCGGTCTGGTCCCGAGCGCACCCCGTAAACAGAACAGCGTTACCCTTTCTCGTAATTTTTCTCATTGACTTTACATCGCGGCGGAACGGCCGATCGGGACTATCAAAATTAATGCCTCGGTCCCAGTGTTTTTTCGGTGCGTCGGCGGCTTCGACTTTTACCGGCGGCCTTCCTGTAAATTAAAAGCTCGTGCTCCGGTACGAAGAATCGACGACGCTCGCGAATTTATCGACTTCGCCATTCCAGTCGAAACGTTCCCGATTTTTTCTTTTACGGCTGCCGATATTGCAGCGACGTTTCTATGAACAATTTTTACAGAAACCGCCGACCCCGTCGCAACTTTTATCGAAGCTTGAATTTATAAAAATTTGCCGACTTTGGCCGTGCGATAACTCCGCGAAAAATCGTCGCAGCTCGATGGCTCTGCTCCGAAATTAAAGCTTGAAAGATCTACTTTAAGATCGTTCTTTCGGATTTTTAGTTCGACGCACCCTCGTCGCTGTAACAATATAATTGCAAAGCCTTGTTTGTCACGTTGAAAATTATCAACTTCGACGACGGGCTTCGTACAATTTTTTTTTCAGAGATGCCGTTTTCGGTAGAACGAAGTTCGATCCTTCCCCTTCAACTTGAAGTAAAAGAAACGCGGCTGCGATTTTTTTTCGCGAAGCTATCGTCAAGGCGAGCGCAGACGCGGCGCACGACGAAAATGCAGGGGTTGCTTCGAAGTGTCGTAATTTTTAACGCCGTATTTCTCCATTTATGCCGATTTTAAAATTTTATCCGATTTCATAAAATTCGTATAATTTCGAGTTACATCGAGCACAGGCTTCGTATTTCCCGCTCAGCTGCAAGTATTATTAATAACGCACGCGAGACGTCGCTTATTTCATCCGCCGTTCTTCTGCTTGCCGTGAGAATACTTCGTCTAAATATTTAATTCTGTTTTTTGGAAGTTTCATATCCGTCCGGTTCAGTGAAACGAAGTAGTATATTCGGGCCACGTGTCGGCTTCTATTATATTCGTATGTCGAGTGGTTAATCTTTGATCGGCCGCAATCGAAAGAGTTATTCGCGGAGGCTCATTGATTATTGCACGGTTTTTTACATCACTGGGTGCAATATAGTCGAACGTTTCATTCGGGAGGGGGGAATGTTGCATTCGAGACAAAATTAATGACAGTTCTTCCTAATATTATCGCTGTCAGTTATCTACCGTTGCCCGCATTACCGAGAAACGTTTATTTCTTATTTTCGGGGCTAAATCACAGCCCCGTCGTCGGAAAGTGTGTTGACCCCTCGGGGTTATTATAACTTTAAAACTGGCACCATCTTTCACAACGCACGCCATTTTAATTTCGTATTATTTTTGTAGGCAATTTATTCGCCATTTAATCGTTGCATCTCATTCTGCTAATTTAATCGGTGCAAGAATTACTTGAAAAAAATGCAAATTCCGAACGGAATAACTTCTTTCAAATCGGTGCGAACGACTTCAATTCTTTCGCAGACTTTCTTTTTTAGTTTCTTGTTTTACACGAGCGTGCAACAATTTTAC